TCCCATGGACTGAGGATCCTGGTAGGCTACAGTCCATGGGTTCGCAAAGAGTCGGACATGACTAAGCTAATATAATACTCAGTGGTAAAAAGCTAAAAGCTTTTTCTCTAAAATCAGCAATAAGACAAGGATCCCCACTCTTGAAAATCCTATTTAACGTAGTATTAGAAGTTCCAGCCTCAGAAATCAGATAAGAAAAAGAAACAAAAGGAATCTAAATTGGAAGAGAAGAAAGGAAACTGTCGGTATTTGCAAATGACATGATACTATTTAAGAAGAATCCTAAAATCTCCTCCATAAAACTACTAGAACTAATAAATGAATTTGGTAACATTATAGAATATAAGATTAATATATAGAAATCTGTAGCTTTTCTATACACTAATAATGAACAATTTAAAAAGAAATCAAGAAAACAATTCCATTTACAATTGCATTAAAAAGATTAAAATACCTAGGAAAAAACTTCATGAAGGAACTGAAAGACCTGTACTCTGAAAACTAAAGACACAGATGAAGAAATAGAAAATGATATAAGTAAGTAGAAAAGCATCCTGTATTCATGGACTGGAAGAATTAATATTGTTAAAATGCCCATATTATCCAAAACAATCTACAGACTAAATATAATCCCTATTAAAATACCCATGACACTTCTCAAAGAACTGGAACAAGTAAACCTAAAACTTATTTGGGACCACAAAAGACCCCAAATAACCAAAGCAAACTCAAGAAAAAAGAACAAAGCTCAAAGCATCACCCTCCCTGACTTCAGACCATACCAAAAAGCTAATCAAGAGAGTGTGGTACCATCACACAGATCAATAAAACTGAATAGAAAGCAGACATATAGATCAATGGAACAGAATAGAGAGCCCAGATATAAACCAACACACATATGGTCAATTAATCTATGACAATCTAATTCCATCAACAGACAAACAGATAAAGAAGATGTGGTGTGGTGTGGTGTGCAAAACAGTTCAGTTTGCGACCCCATGGACTGCAGCACGCCAGCCTTCCCTTGCTCAAACTCATGTCCATCGGGTCAGTGATGCCATCCAACCATCTCATCCTCTGTTGTTCCCTTCTCATCCTGCCTTCAATCATTCCCAGCAACAGGGTCTTTTCAAATGAGTCAGTTCTTCGCGTCAGGTGGCCAAAGTATTGGAGCTTCAGCTTCAGCATCAGTCCTTCCAATGAATATTCAGGACCAATTTCCTTTAGGATTGACTCGTTTGATCACCTCGCAGTCCAAGGGACTCTCAAGAGTCTTCTCCAACACCGTAGTTCAAAAGCATCAATTTTTTAGTGGTTAGTTTTCTTTATGGCATAGCTCTCACACCCATACATGACTACTGGAAAAACCATAGCTTTGACTAGACAGACTTTTGTAGGCAAAGTAATGTCTCTCCTTTTTAATACACTGTCTAGGTTGGTTATAGCTTTTCTTCCAAGGAGCAAGCGTCTTTTAATTTCATAGCTGCAGTCACCATCTGCAGTGACTTTGGAGACCAAGAAAATAAAGTCTGCACGGTTTCCATTGTTTCCCCATCTATTTGCCATGAAGTGATGGGACCAGATGCCATGATCTTAGCTTTTTGAATGTTGAGTTTTAAGCCAGGTTTTTCACTCTCCTCTTTCACTTTCATCAAGAGGCTCTTTAGTTCCTCTTTGTTTTCTCATAAGGGTTGTGTCATCTTCATAACTGGGGTTATTGATATTTCTTGCGGTAATACTGATTCCAGCTTGTGTTTCATCCAGTCTGACATTTCTCATGATGTACTCTGCATATAAGTTAAATTAGCAGGGTGACAATATATAGCCTTGGTATACTCCTTTCCCAATTTGGAACCAGTTTGTTGTTCCACATCTGTTCTAACTGTTTCTTCTTGACCTACATACAGATTTCTCAGGAGACAGGTGAGGTGGTCTGGTATTCCCATCTCTTGAAGAATTTTCCACAGTTGGATGTGATCCACACAGTCAAAGGCTTTAGCATAGTCAATGAAGCAGAAGTAGATGTTTTTCTGGAACTCTCTTGCTTTTTCTGTGATCCAAGAGTTGTTGGCAATTTGATCTCTGGTTCCTCTGCTTTTTCTTTTTTTTCATTTATTTTTATTACTTGGGGGCTAATTACTTTACAATATTGTCGTCGTTTTTGCCATACATTGACATGAATCTGCCATAAATTTACATGTGTTCCCCATCCCGATCCCCCCTCCCACCTCCCTTCTCATCCCATCCCTCTGGGTCTTCCCAGTGCACCAGCCCTGAGCACTTGTCTCATGCATCCAACCTGGGCTGGTGATCTGTTTCACCCTTGATAGCATACTTGTTTCAATGCTATTCTCTCAGATCATCCCACCCTTGCCTTCTCCCACAGAGTCAAAAAGTCTGTTCTGTACATCTGTGTCTCTTTTTCTGTTTTGCATATAGGGTTATCGTTACCATCGTTCTAAATTCCATATATATGCGTTAGTATACTGTATTGGTCTTTATCTTTCTGGCTTACTTCTCTGTATAATCAGCTCCAGTTTCATCCATCTCATTAGAACTGATTCGAATGGATCCTCTATGACCCACCTCCCAGAATACTGGAAATAAAAGCAAAAATAAACAAATGGGACCTAATGAAACTTAAAAGTTTTTGCACAACAAAGGAAACTATAAGCAAGGTGAAAAGACAGCCCTCAGATTGGGAGAAAATAATAGCAAACGAAGAAACAGACAAAGGATTAATCTCAAAAATATACAAGCAACTCCTGCAGCTCAATTTCAGAAAAATTAATGACCCAATCAAAAAATGGGCCAAAGAACTAAACAGACATTTCTCCAAAGAAGACATACAGATGGCTAACAAACACATGAAAAGATGCTCAACGTCACTCATTATCAGAGAAATGCAAATCAAAACCTCAGTGAGGTACCATTACACGTCAGTCAGAATGGCTGCTATCCAAAAGCCTACAAGCAATAAATGCTGGAGAGGATGTGGAGAAAAGGGAACCCTCTTACACTGTTGGTGGGAATGCAAACTAGTACAGCCACTATGGAGAACAGTGTGGAGATTCCTTAAAAAACTGGAAATAGAACTGCCATATGACCCAGCAATCCCACTCCTGGGCATGCACACCGAGGAAACCAGATCTGAAAGAGACACGTGTACCCCAGTGTTCATCGCAGCACTGTTTATAATAGCCATGACATGGAAGCAACCTAGATGCCCATCAGCAGACGAATGGATTAGGAGCCTGTGGTACATATACACAATGGAATATTCCTCTGCTTTTTCTAAATCCAGCTTGAACATCTGGGAGTTCTCAGTTCACATACTGTTGAAGCCTAGTTTGGAGAATTTTCAGCATTTTTTGCTAGCGTGTGAGATGAGTGCAATTGTGCAGTAGTTTGAACATTCTTTGGCATTGTCTTTCTTGGCATTGGAATGAAAACTGACCTTTTCCAGTCTTGTGGCCACTGCTGAGTGTTCCAAATTTGCTGGCATATTGAGTGCAGCACTTTCACAGCATCATCTTTTAGGATTTGAAATCGCTCAACTGGAATTCCACCACCTCCACTAGCTTTGTTCACAGTGATGCTTACTAAGTAAGGTCCACGTGACTTCAGGCTCCAGGATGTCTGGCTCTAGGTGAGTGATCACACCACCATGGTTATCTGGGTCATGAAGATCTTTTTTATATAGTTCTTCTGTATTCTTGCCACCTCTTCTTAATATCTTCTGCTTCTGTTAGGTCCATACTGTTTCTGTCCTTTATTGTGCCCATTTTTGCATGAAATGCTCCCTTGATATCTGTAATTTTCTTGAAGAGATCTCTAGTCTTTCCCATTCTACTGTTTTCCTCTGCCATAAAAAAGAATGAAATTCTGCCATTTTCAACAAGTGGATAGACCAAGAAAGTATTTTGATTAGTGAAATAAGTCAGATGGAGATAACAAATACTATGTTATCACTTACATGTGGAACCTGAAAAAATAAATATATACCGCAACATAGAAACAGACTCACAGGTATAGAAAACAAATTAGTGGATATCAGTAGGAAGAGGGAGTGGGGAGGGGCAAGATAGGGGTATGGAATTAAGACATACAAACTGCTGTGTATAAAAGTATAAGGAACAAGGATATATTGCACAGCACAGGGAATTATAGTCATTTTGTAATAACTTTAAATGGAGTACCATCTATAAACATATCAATTCACTACATTGCATACCTTAAAAAAAAGAGAATTTAGTCTGTGGAATCAGACAGATTCTGTTCTAACTCTAGCTCAGGTCTCAGTGGTTGGACAGTGAGGTCAAGGACTATGTCTGTTTTGCTCAACAATGCCCAGTACGCAATGCCTGGTACAGAACATGCAGTCAATAGTATTTATTGAGTGAATTAAGGACAAAACAGTTTTCCACTCAAATGATTTTGCCCACCAGAGGACATCTGACATCTGGATGGATATTTGGTTCTTGCAGCTAACATCCAATGGGTAAAAGTCAGAGCTGCTATTAAAATATCCTACAGTATACAGGACAAAGAATTATCCAGCCCCAAATATCAATAGTAAAGACGTTGAGAAACCCTGCTCTAGAATGAGGCCAATCAGGGATAAATTTCTAACTACTAACACTAATTGCTTGACCTTGAGTAAGTTATCAAATTTCTCTAACTCTTAATTTCCCCATCTGTAGAATGGGAGACTAATTACAACTGATAATAACATATATATAAATGAGATAAAGTAGGTATCATGTATGAAGGGCTTATCAGCAACTGGTACATAGAGTGTGACCTCTATAAATGTCACCTCTGAGTGTTCTAACCATTAACCTTCATTCACTGTCACATAATGACAATGAGGTCCCTCAGATGGAATCTTTACGCTCTTGGATCACACCATTATCAATCTCAGAGTGAGTATTCACATCACATTAAGCCCTGCTTCCCCACTACATTTATTGCAAGGTTTATTGTCTTTATGTGCTTACCAGAGGCTCAACAGTGAAAATGGTATTCAAGAAGAGCACGCTGTCTGCCTGAACCAGCTTTCTCTGATTCTCAAAAGTGCGGGAGAGAATGGAAAGACGCTGTCGGAGAGAAGGATCAATAATGCACTCCTCAAGAAACTCATCAGTCTCACTCTTTTCCTTTTTGCTAAGATCATCACATATCCTAAAAAAAAAAAAAAGAAGAAGAAGAAACATGCAATTCATCCTGGTACTTCCATGAAGAACACTGTAAAGGGCTCCCCTCCAGCCCATCCTGTTGAGAATATTCTCACCCATGACCTTGAGGTGGTCCTTCCTTGCCTGAGACGTAATATACCAGTTGAGAGACCTTATACCTTATCCTCTGGAGAACTTCAGTTTGTTTCCTTCAAGAAGTCTCCCAGGCTTCCTAACCTACTCAATGCTCACTTGCTTACTCCTGAGCCCTTACAGATATTTGCACAAGTATTTTCCTTTAGGTAATTGTGTTTTCCAGGATGTTTTTTCAGTATTTAACATCTACCCTGCCTCTCACACTTCAAGGGCAATTTTTTGTTTCTTATAAACTTGCCTAGCTTGAATTCTTTCCTAGCCGTTATTACCTACAGAACAGAATCTGGAGCCAGCAAAGACTAGATTTTGATACTAATTCTACTCTTTATTTACTCACTCTATGACTTCAGGAGTTACTTAAGTCCTCTAAGCCTCAGTGCCTTCATCAACAAAATGGAAAGAATAGGAGATCCTCCATCATAAAGATGTGCTGAGAATTAAAAGTGATCAAGGACATGGGGTAATTCTTGGAACAAAGCTGCTGCTCAAGAAATGCCAGTTTTCTCCCTATATGAATCCCAGGCAGTTACAAAGCTGTCAAGTTATAAAATACTCAGACTACATGTGGAGACACGTCCTTTCTCTCTCTCTCTCTCTCTAGATCTTCATATCCCTTGTGATAAGTCAGAAAAGCAGCCTTCACAACTGTCTACTCATTACTAAAGGTATGCTCACATAACTCCTTGCGTCTGTGACTTCATCTGAAGACTGAATTTCAAGTCCTGCAAGGATACATGACCATTTTCCCAGCATTTTTCTGGTATTACCAGTGGTGAGAGACATTATTTAGTAATGTGAATACTGAGTGAGAAGCTGGGGTCACTTAAATCCAGTCCTAGCCCCAATTATTTTGTAAATGACTTCATGCAAACCATATGCTCAGCAATGTCAAATAATTCTTTTTAAAATAACTTCAGTGTCCAGGGTCCTTCGGTCATACAGCATAAAGAAGTCAAAGAAATGGGTTCAGTGTGTTCTGGTCCCGATGAAGAAAGCATTGTGTGCTCCCTTGTTCTTGCTGGATGGGAAGCCGTGCACAAGGTAAGCAGAGCCGCCATCCTTCCATACTGCTGGGCAGGTCAAGGCAAATTAAAGGCAGCTCAGTACACAGGAAGAAAGGAAATCATGTATTCCTCCAAGTGGAACTTATTAATACATATCTATTCCTTAGGAACAAATCCTAAAGAAACAATCATGAATGTAAATAAAGAGCAACAAAGAGGTTCACCAAAGTGCTTGTAATAACACAAAAAAATGTGGGTAAATTTGATATACCAGATTGAAGTATTGGTTAAACAAATAATGGGACATTATTATTTGTAATACACATTACATTTGTATATGAGGGTTAATGGGAGTGGGGTGTGGGGATAAAACACCTTGTGTGGACCAAAGATGATAATGCTTTATGAATCGAGCAGTATGATGAACTCAACCCTGAAAAAAAAGAGGACAACACAAAAATTCTGCTTTTCTCCCAGGCTGTTGAGACTCTTGAGTCCATGACAGCTGTATAATGAGAAGTGGGGGGGAGGACACCCGATGTCCTCCTCGCTGCCATCTATGCAGAATTACAGCCATGGCTGAGTGTAAGAAGGGAATGTGTCACTCCACTGTGAGCTGGGTTGACTCCAACAAGGACTTCTATATACCTCAGTCTATTGTTTTGCCATCTTGTCTGGCTGATACTCATTGTCTCCCGCACTCAGAGGTGTTTTGTTTTTCAGATGAAGATGCCTCTCATCAAGAATGTAACAATACACTAGCCTTCTCTTTCAGTAAAATCATGGATTTAACCCATTTTGCAAATTGTCTGGTAGCCCAAACATCCACCACCTTCAGGCATCAACTACAGTTCAGTCAGTGGACTATACTCAGTGGGGAGTATAGCGTGTCTCAGGTACAGTAGCATTGAACCAGTACTGCCCTCTCACCTTGGGTTCCTAGAGACCTGCACTCTGATCCTTTGCAACATCCCAAGAGGTGGTAATTGAATGCCAAGATTAAAAACTAAGAACCTCAGCCATCAAGGCTGGCAGAAATATTTCCCTCCACAGCCGGTATGGAAAGGACAGAGCCATCCAACTTCAAATGGACTGTGAGATACTGGACAGAGAGTACCAGTAACTGTGTGATGCCTGTTATAAATGAAGTACTAGAGGTCCTCTTCCTGTTTACCAAGTACCACTCAAGTCTTTAGGTTCTTATATGACTAGGAAAGGGAGGGCTGTGCTAGGTCATTTCAGTCGTGTCTGACTGTGACCGCATGGACTGTAGCCGTCCAGGCTCCTCTGTCCATGGGATTCTCCAGGCAAGAATACTGGAGTGTGTTGTCATTTCCTTCTCCCAGGGATCTTCCCGACCCAGGATCGAACCAGAGTCTCTTATGTCTAATCTGCATTGGTAGGTGGGTTCTTTACCACTAGCGCCACCTGGAAGGGCTCCCCAAACACAACTAAGATTAAATTTGTTACTACCCGGGTGGTAGGCTGAAAGCCCAAATACAACTGATTTATTTACAGAGACGCATCATCTCCAGCACTGTAATGCTTTGGAACACATCCATGCTGATCACTTTCAGGGCAGGGGGCTCCACTGAGGATTCTGTGTTCTTGTACACAGTGAATCCAGAACCAGAGCAGCTGTTATTGAAAGAATGGCCATGACCTTGATGGAGAAATGGGGAGCAGAAATCCTCAAAAGCCCATGCTGTGTCTTTGGAAATAATAAACTTTGATTAAGAATGAGGATGGAAATATCTTGTAGGATATTTTATAATCCCTCAGGCCAAGATAGAGTAAGTAAGAAGGAATGAATTCAGTCTCAATTTTTGAAGGGATTAATTTTCTGTAACTCCTAAAAAAATGTCAGAAAAGAGAGAGAACCGAAAGATCATTTTCAAAGGTTCTTATATCTGATTCTTAAAAAAATGGAAAAAAAATAAGTTCAGAACTTCCTCCTAAGGGAAATGATATCTCCATTGTCAGAGTCTGGAGCCTGAGATTAGCCTGAGGTCCCCAAATCTGAATGTGTCTCCTAAGGTTCATACCAACATGTTTTGGAAGGCAGAGAGGAAGACTTCCTTCGTAAAATGAAAGTGATAAACTGCCAGAAAGGTAGAGGGCCCAGATGTGCCTTTGCTCAGCATCAAGTTGCTGGAGAACAAGAAACTATGATGGCTAGAATAGGACCTTGAGGATGTCCATAATACTAAAGGGATTAGAATTCTCAAAGTGATCACACAGCAAGTTTCAGCCTCTTGGATGAATGCCTTGGGATGAGTTTTAAGCCATGTTATAACTGGAAAGCAGTGGGAAGACTCTTGAATTCATCTAAAATCTACACTGAAGTTTTAAAATCTTAAGTCACTGGGATACTGCAAAGGGAAACGTGAATCACCTAAAGTATACCTAAGGCCCGTTTAGATCACCTATTTTGCAAGTTCAGGACAGAAGTCAACCTTTCTCTCTACACCTTAACTACAGAGGTTACTGAAGGAAGAGAAGAAAAAAGAGCTTGCTCACCACTATGAGTAGCAGAGTCAAACATAAAAAGATTATTCCAGGGATTCTTGCACTGGTCTTCCTGGGGAGCTCAAGAGAGAATTTATGCCAGAAGCTAAAGATCTCACTCCTGTTTCTTAGAGACAAGCAAACCTTGGCCCATAAGCAAGCTATCCAAGAACATTCTGCTTGATCTGTTGCTGATGTAAGCCCAAGAGACAGCTAAGGGTTTGTTACATGGAGGAGAAGAGGATCTACATTCACAGCAAGAGAGCAGCCACCCATGAAAGGGGCACCTACCCAAAGACATGAACCAGATGTTCAGTAAAGAATAGCCTCTTTCTTTGCTTTTTGAGATGATAGGCATTTTGCTCATTAGTCCAGGACAAGAATCCATGGCTAATAATATGAAACTTGGTGGCATGCTTGGGAAGGTATCAAGGAATAAGAGAGGCATGGAAGAGAAGAGATACCTGGTCAAATAAGAGATAAGGCATCTTACCCTAAGAGAAGGGTAGGAAGAGGGGATGGGGCAGAAAATTAAATACATTCTCCACTTAGATCAACCAATCCAGTTTGTAGCAATACAAGTTATGTTGCTGTGTGTCACCCACACACAGCAAAACATTCTTATTTAGCCTTCTGAAGCCACTTTTCAAATTCATTGTTTAAGGGAGGGGTATGATCCAAGATGATAAAAGTGGGCTTCCAACTGTGGTGGTTAAAATGCTCTATTATATTATTTTCTTGCTACAAAAAAAGCAAACAAACAAACAAAAAAACATCCAGGAGGAGGATCTAACAGAAACAGCAAGCGAGAAAATGCAAAAGAAAAGGGAGAATAAGACTCAAGGATAATAATAGAGATAGGGCCATGAGTGTTTGGGGGGGCAAGAAGTGTGGCGGGGGGGGTAGAAATGTCCATTCACGTGTGGTTAAGATTATAATCTCTTAGAATTTCTGACAGCAATTGGTTTGAATTTTTCCTGAGTTTCACTGCTGAATAACTTCCTTACATAGCTTTTGGACATAGGCATGGCACCAGTCATGTCCTATACATTTGGTCAAACACAAAGACATAGTTGAAATTAAAGCTGGCTTTCCCTCTGGTGATTTTCCCTGGTGGCTCAGACAGTAAAGAATCTGCCTGCAATGCAGGAGACCCAGGTTCGATCCCTGAGTTGGGAAGATCCCCTGGAGAAGAGAATGGCAACCCATGCCAGTATTCTTGCCTAGAGAATCCCATGGTCAGAGAAACCTGGTGGGCTACAGTCCATGGGGTCGCCAAGAGTCAGACACGACTGAGCCACTAACACTTTCCTTCTGATAGTGCATACTCTTTTCTCCCCAAAAGATGATGTCCACGGCACAAGGAGGGACTGAAACACTACTTTACTGCTGCTTCTGCATCTGGGCCTGCTCTGTTTTTATCTTTAAACATGCCTGGACCATTCTGATTGTTGCTACATACATGTCAGCTAAAGAATCAGTACCAATGAAGCAATGGACAAGAGGTCTCCTCTTGCCTTTTTTAAACTACTGGTGTTTCTATGCCATGAGGCAACATGAAGTTTTTAGGCAGGAAAGGCTTTTCTTTCCTCACTTTTTAAAGATGGCACAGTGGCAATGCGGTGATTAAAGCTCATTGTCTGGATGACAAAGCCTCTGGTCCGCGGTGTCCTGTCACTGTCACCGCTCCTTCTGATTCAATTAGGGACAGCTCACTGGGGGATTTCTGCCTGGTCTCCATAGACCTATGACTTTTTATTTTTATCACATACTAACTTGGTGTTAAACAGAGCTCTGAAGCTTCTCGGGGCTAATCTTTAATGAAAATGGAGAGGCAAATAAAAAAGACTGAGATAAATTCCAATGAAAGCAGCAAAAGTGCTAATTCAGGGAGGATGGAGGAAGCTAAAATTGCAAATGGAGTTTGAAAGAGTCAATGATAGATTCAGTAAAAAAGAGAAATATTATAAACTTAACAATGATGAGATTAATTAAAAGTTTGGCTTTCCATTTTATTAATTTTCTCCACTGCCTGAAGTATCATTTTAAAAAGCAGCAGATTAAAATACCAACAAGAAACCTCTATTAAACTATACAGTTAGTGAGGATTGAGCAATGCTACTAAAACTGAAATTATTAAAGTCATTGTATCTAAGCCCTCATCTCCCCCACTCGTTGTCTTTTCTGAAAGTATCTTTTCACTGGGAAAAAAGTAGTCCACAATGATCCCAATCCAAAAGAGATTACTTCTAGAAACTCTATGAAAACTGACTGATCTGGTTAGGGTTATGAAAAGAAATAAAGACAGGTAGATTTCTTTTGAGAGAATAGTGAAGAATGATGTATTTGGTCTTTAAAATTCAGGAAACTAGCTACTGGTAAATTATTAACATAAGCAGGATAAGATTAACTGAGGACAGACAATGTTGTGTTCCACATAATTCAATCCAGGTTCTTTAAATGAGACAAGGGGCACTGTATACTGAACCCAAATGATAATATATCTGACATTGTTTGAGTTGGTTAGAAACTTACCACAAAAGCCACAGAATTTTCATAACTAAGTTTCATGTTCCTTCAAATTATATGGATAGTGATTTTTCTTACAAACCTGTACTTTTCTTGGTCTTCCTCTTCCTGGGTAGCAAATATCTTCCACTGGAAATGGGCAATGATGTTACTGTGGTTGTGAATAGTTACAGTTCGCTGATTGGCCAGAGATATGTAAGTTTTCTCAAGGATCAAGGAATTCTTGTCCAACCTTATGTTCATGTCTACAGCAGCTCCATACAGAGATATAAACACTTTTTCACCTAGAATGTTAACAAAGTATAACTGCACTTTTAGATTTATTCTAGAACCATGCTACTAAGCTATGTTCCCCCCATGGTGAAGTCAGGGAATATTGTACAAGCATTAGACACTTCATTCTCCCCTCTTCCCCGTCAGAGATCAGACATGATCAGAAATCTGAAATGTTATGTTTGGTACAATTATAGAGAAATAAACTATCCTTCTTGATTACTGTAAAAAGAACACATAAAATATGAATTGTGGTAAGTGCTACCAATCTTTTACTTCTTTGTAATGGTTTAAAATCCAACAACCTGACCATGAGGGCCTGAGTTCTAGAATTGAAACTATTAGCCTCATCTTTATTCCAAGAATAAACTGGATTTCTTAAATTAACTGTACCAAGTACATCTGGGAAGAGCTGCTCAGCATGAGAGGATCTGAGTCCAAACAAAGGGGATCAGAAAGGCGGCATTAATAACTTCATTAACAGAAAACTGACTATTCAAAAGGGACCACATTCCTAACAACAGTAATTAAAACAGAAATGAAACACACATGCACATACATACATACTATAGGTGGATAGTGATTACATGAAAAGGAAAAAACAGAAAGACAAAAGTACTGGTTAAAACTTAAAATGTTTTAATGCTAAGAACACCTTTATTCAGCATAGTAATTTAAGTTTTTATTTCATTCAGGATGCATCAACTGCCTTGAGTCTAGATATATGAATGTCCTTGGGCCTCCAAGAAGACACGAGTTACAAACATTTATTTTATCTGATCTCTGCACTGTCACAGCAAGTACCTTACTCTGACATCAAGGTAGAAAAAGGAAATTCTTAAATATCATGAATGTCTGTTGATCTGTGCTGCTACCATTTTAATTAGGACTCAGAAGGCCTAATCACGCGGGCTTTTTTTTAGCAAATATTTCTGCTACATTCACAACTGTATGAGGTGAACAAGTATTTAGTAAACTCATAGCCCTTTATATAGTGCAAACGTTTTTTAGGCCCTATTACTTTGAACACATCAAAACGTTTCACAAAGTTTAAAGAAAAAGTTAAGTATCTAGGCACTTGCCTCTAAAATGTTACATTTTTATTTAAAAAATATGTACATGGGGTTAAAAATTTAAGTACTAAACAGCACATCCCATGAAAAGAACACATCTTCCTCTCCTTCACTCAACCCGCGGCCTGCTTTTTAGAGGTAAGAACTGCTAATATTTTCATGTACTTCCTTTTTGCTTTTTGATGAGTTAAATTTAACAGTCTGATGAGTGGAAACTTGTTGCTTTAATTTGCATAATCTTAATTATGGATCACAATAAACTGTGGAAAATTCTTCAAAAGATGGGAATACCATTTGGCCTGACATGCCTCTTGAGAAATCTGTATGCAGGTCAGGAAGCAACAGTTAGAACTAGACATGGAACAACAGACTGGTTCCAAATAGGAAAAGAAGTACGTCAAGGCTGTATATTGTCACCCTACTTATTTAACTTATATGCAGAGTACATCATAAGAAACGCTGGGCTGGAAGAAGCACAAGCTGGAATCAAGATTGCCAGGAGAAATATCAATAACCTCAGATATGCAGATGATACCACCCTTATGGTAAAAAGTAAAGAACTAAAGAGCTCTTGATGAAAGTGAAAGAGGAGAGTGAAAAAGTTGGCTTAAAGCTCAACATTCAGAAAACTAAGATCATGGCATCCAGTCCCATCACTTCATGACAAATAGATGGGGAAATAGTGGCTGATTTTATTTTTCTGGGCTCCAAAATCACTGCAGATGGTGATTACAGCCATGAAATTAAAAGACGCTTACTCCTTGGAAGGAAAGTTATGACCAACCTAGACAGCATATTAAAAAGCAGAGACATTACTTTGCCAACAAAGTTCTGTCTAGTCAAGGCTATGGTTTTTCCAGTAGTCATGTATGGATGTGAGAGTTGGACTATAAACAAAGCTGAGTGCCGTAGAATTGATGCTTTTGAACTGTGGTGTTGGAGAAGACTCTTGAGATTCCCTTGGACTGCAAGGAGATCCAACCAGTCCATCCTAAAGGAGATCAGTCCTGGGTGTTCATTGGAAGGACTGATATTGAAGCTGAAACTCCAATACTTTGGCCACCTGATGTGAAGAGCTGACTCACTGGAAAAGACCCTGATGCTGGGAAAGATTGAAGGCAGGAGGAGAAGGGGATGAAGGATGAGATGGTTGGATGGGATCACCGACTCGATGGACATGGGTTTGGGTGGACTCTGGGAGCTGGTGATGGACAGGGAGGCCTGGCGTGCTGCAGTTCATGGGGTCGCAAAGAGTCGGACACAACTGAGCTACTGAACTAACTAATTATAGATGATGTTGAACATCTTTTCATATATTAATTGATTTTATACACACACACATATACATGTGTGTTATATCATGCTTTGATCATTCATCACAGAAGATATCATTCTAAAGGGGGCAAGAGACATAGAAATCCAAGTCCTAAGCTTATCAAAGGAAGAGGTTAACACACAAAAAAAGTATTATGCTGGAACTGTCTATGTCTTTTAGGGGACTTTAAACCTTGATTTTGGTTGTTATGAATGGGTTTTGTCCTCAGAAACCTAGATAAAAGAACTCATTTCTCTTTAGAGTAAGGTACCTGATCCAATGTTTCAAACTGTTCCACTTTTTTTTTAAAAAGCCAAATGTAACCAGACATGCAAAGAAACAATACTCTGTGAGTTAAAAACAGCATACACAACAAAAACAGAAGCAGACTCACAAAGAATCAAATACTAGAACCAAACTACAAAATGATCCTATGGCCCACTTCTAGAGATTTATCCTACAGATAATTCAGAACAAGATGAAGAGTATTCATTACAGTATTGCTCCTTATAACAACAGACTGGAAAAAAACAGAGCATCTATCAAGAGAAGGCTGGTTAAAAAATCTGTCTTACACCTAAAAGTGGAATACTGTGCAGGTATTAAGAAGTACCCAGTGAAAAGAAAAGAGCTCCAAGATACACAATTAAGTGGAAAAATCAAGGTTTAGAACAATATACATATTAGTTTGGTTAAAAGGTTCGTTCAGTTTTTTTTCATAACATATTACAGAAAAACTCGAATGAACATTTTTGCCAACCCAATAGTATGTTATTTTTGTGTAAGGTGGGAAAATAAGAATATGAATTCAAGTTTACATTTATTTGTATAAAAACACTAGGAAGATATACAAGAAACCAATAAAATGAAAAAAGAGTCAGGTGAATGTGGTAGGATGGAAATTGCACTTTTCAATATGCACTTTTCAAAGATTGCTTTATTTTTTGGCTATCTGATTACATTACTCGTCCAAAACTCTGATGTAAAAAAAGGATTACAGGGCACCCAGGAAACATTTAAATGTGCTAGATACCATTAGTAATGAGAAAGATATAAAAGAAAAAAAGAAGATACCATTTCATAACCATTAGATTAACAAAAATCAAACAATTTGACAATGGTGTTTTGTCAGTATATTGACAAGTAGGTAGAAAAACAAGAATTTTCATATACTGCTGATAGAAATACAGATTGGTACAACCACTTGACCAATAAATTTCATATCCAGCAAAGCTCAAGATGAGTCTGAGTAAACTCTGGGAGTTGGTGATGGACAGGGAGGCCTGGTGTGCTGCAGTCCATGGGGTCACAGAGAGTCGGACATGACTGAGCAACTGAACTGAACTGAAAGCTCAAGATACATTCGCCTTGTAACGCAGCAATCTCACTTCTAGTTACTTATCCCTAAGGATAATCTCACACAGCTGCATAAGACATACACAAAGACACTCACTGCAGCATTGTTCATAATAGCAAAAAACTAGGAACATCCTAACATTCAATAGGAGTACAGATAAACTATAGTATTTTCACAGGCTGGAGCATGCTGCATTAGTTAAAATGAATCAGAGCTATATATCTATGTGTTTAAATCTTTAAAACATAGTGTTGAAGGACTTCTCTGGTGGTCCAGTGGCTAAGAATCCACACTCCCAATGTAGGGGGCCAGGGTTCAATCCCTGGTCAGGGAACTAAAGATCCCCGCGTGCTGCAGCTAAGACTTAGCACAGCCAAATAAATTTAAAAAGTATTTCAACAAACAAAAAACCCCATAATATTGAATGAAAAAGTCAAGTTGGGAAATGGTATACACAATATAATACCACTTACAAGAAGTTTGAAACTACTCAAGACAATGGTTTATGGATAAGTAATATGCAGGAATGGCATTAATATGCACCCAGCATGGCTCCTCTGAGGACTAAGACATGAGAATTAGATTAGAAAAGAATAACAAAGCAACTGCACATCTATAATCAGTTTAGTTATCTATAAAACATCTGAAAGGAAAGCATATGGCAAAATGTTGAGATATGTTAAATATAATGGCTGTTGATTACATTATTTCTGTGCTTTGGCACTTATTTGAAATATTTCATTGTTTAAAAATCTAACTGAGGAAAAAAATTCCAGGGCTTACTTATTTCATCCAAATCTAGGGGTCAGACAGACTAATGTTATCAGTTTAAGTTGCTCACTGCAAAACGTTCCTTCCCAGAAATACAACAAAAGCCACTATATTCTTTTCAAGAGCCATCTAATATTGATTTTTTTCACTATTATCTTCCAAAAGTCATCAGATCACAAAGTAAAGGAAGCAATAACTCTTGTCTTGCTTCCATAGCTGTTGAAGAACTTGCTATTCACATCTACTTTCATGAAGACAACCATAAATAGGGTCCCTCTCTCCAGCTAAACAATTGATAGGAAAGATAGAAAGGGTGTTAAGCCTAGGAGAATGGTTAAGGTTACTGTACCTCACCATCAGCATTTTTTGTGCCCTTGGAGTGCCTGTTACCACTATAGTTTCTTATCAGTTTCAGGGGTTGAATTCTGCAGTCACTGTAGATGAGGTTAGCCACAGTCATTTATTATGTTCTAGTAAAGACGTATTTTGTGGAAG